CTCTGTGCCATTCCACATTATTACAAATAACTTCATTTCTGGACATTTATGGTTTTATTTCTTTGTAAGTATGGATCACTTGGGTTGTTACCGACATCTGGTGAAAATTTCATGTCATTAGCCCCTCTAGTAATATATTTACTGAGAACAATGGTGACTTGTTCAATACTTATTTTACCCGCTGTATATACTGCTTTCTATGTTCAATTTTGTTGTACAGGCTCGTGCACTGTCAATAAAGGTTTTTTCTTCTGCAATCTGCTGTGACACAAAGCGGCAGACAGACACTGATAAGAGTTGGAATGAGGAAGTGCATCTCATCACTACCCATGATGTTCACAAGAAAGTAAAAGCCCAGATTAACAGGTTTTCTGAAGCACTGGAGTGGGCTGTTGTTTTTTTAGATTCCAGCAAAAAATAAAACCCTGTTTGTTAAACCCGCAAGCATTCACTGTTGATGGAGTGGGATTATTGTAAATGTGATCAGAAGTTTAAAATTAGTGATGAAACCTAATAAAACAGTGTGAACAAAAACATTTCTATTTTTTTTTTTCAAAATGCAACGTGTGAAGTTAGMCATTTGGCATTTCAAATAATAAAATATTTAAATGATTATAAAACATCTGTCTTCCACTGAGTGCATTAGAGTACCACTTTATATCAGAGCAGAAACAGTTATTGGTTTGTAGACTGCCTGAGATCACCGGTGTATATGGGTTTCTGATGAGAAAAGAGGATCCAGATGCTATTTGTCATTGTGGCTGAGGGATGAGGGCTTCATGTTATAACAGAAACTTGTATAATTAGGGTGTGAGGTCTACATGTGTAAACATACGGTATGGTATATAAAACTCAGGGTTCTGGTCCTGATAATAATAATAATAATGCATTTTATTTATAAAGCGCCTGACACCCAAGGACGCTGTACAATCGAAAAGAAACAACTGTAAATACATAGAGTGATAGGGTAGTGCAGCAGAAACATAGAAATGTGGAGTACAKAACAGTCATGTAAAGAAATACAAGTTGAACAATAGGGTTGTGTGGGAGAAACAGAAATGAGGACTACAAAACAGTCATATTGAGGAACAATCAGAGTTAACAGTAGGCTAATCTGAAAAAATGTCTCTTCAGGCCAGTCTTAAACAGGGAGAGAGAGGTTGTATTCTGTAATCCGTGGGGTAGTGAGTTCCAGAGCTGCGGAGCAGAGCGGCTGAAAGCTCTGCTCCCCATGGTGCTGAGGCGGGCAGRGGGTGTTGAGAGTTGGAGGGAGGGGGCAGATCTTAGAGAGCGGGAGGGTGTGGATATGTTCAAGAGGTCAGACAGGTAAGGAAGGGATAGATTGTGGATAGCTTTGAAAGTGTGTAGGAGAATTTTGAAGATGATGTGGGATTTAACTGGGAGCCAGTGGAGCTGTTGTAGGACTGGAGTGATGTGGGRTTTAACTGGGAGCCAGTGGAGCTGTTGTAGGACTGGAGTGATGTGGGCAGAGGGTGAGGTTTGAGTGATAACACGGACTGCTGAGTTCTGAACCATCTGTAGTTTGTGGAGGGATTTATTGGGGAGGCCAAACAGTAGAGAGTTGCAGTAGTCGATCCTGGATGTTACTAGGCTGTGTTCAAGGATGACAGTGGAGCGGGAGGTGAGTGAAGGACGGAGATGGTTAATGYTGYGRAGATGAAAGTAGGCAAATCGAGTCACATTGTCAATGTGGGATGTGAAAGAGAGTGTGGTGTCAAGGAYGACACCTACATAGGTTCTTGACCTGATGTGAGGGGGAAAGAACAGAGTTGTTAAGCCTGAAGAGAAGATGTTGGGATTTGGAAATGGAGTTTTTTGTCCAAACAAGGAAGAGTTCATGTCCTGATGCATCTCWGTAATCCAGGTAAAAAATCAAAAGGAAAAAAATTGTATAGGTCCTGTGGACGGGTTCTTCTTTAATGAAACTTACACATTAACTGAGCACATGGTGGGACAGGTTTGTAACTGTAAGACTGTTTCAGGTCTTTTAAATTACCCAGAACAAGAGTGTWATTGCTGGATGGAAGTGTTTTAGTTTATTCTAGCTAATTTACCTCCAAAGAAACCTGTTTGTCCACCTACTGTATTCTAAAGAAGCATCAGTCTCCTCCTACATGCAACAGAGAGGAGGGACAGGTCAAGCTTTTGTTCATAAATTCCATCGTCTGGACCCTGAGAGGAGCTGTATCTTCACAGGGCATCCATCCAGACCTGAAATACTCTAAAGCAGGTGAGCACTAAGGAAAACTGCACTCAGGCACGTCTTTATTGATTATATGAAATGACTCCTTTGAGACAAGCTCACTGTTACCAGCACAAAATGAATGCTCTGAAATTGTATAAATTGTATGTTTTCATCAAATTATTTTGTTTTCTGTGTTGTCTTTTAGCCCCTATTCCTAATTTATAATGGCAGGTAAGTGTTGTTTTATTCCCAGGAATTATTTCTCACATTGTCAGTGTCAAGGAGATTTTTCTATTAGGATTCACCCTGTTTACACTGATAACATTTGAATCTGGTTTTGGTACTATAAGCTCCCTGTTTCCCGTTGTGCTGGTTTAAAAGTAGAAGCTTTTAAGGAGAAGTTTCTGGAGACTCACAACACATACAGGACCATGCATCAGGCTCCACCACTGACCTATAACTCCGAGCTGTGCAGCAAAGCCCAGGCGTGGGCTGACCAACTGCTGCAACGAAAAACCCTGGCCCACAGTGAGACTGATGATGGAGAGAATGTCTTCTACTCTTTTTCCTCAGCATCTCTAAATCTAAAAGGTGTGTTATGCTGAGTCAGCATTCAAAATGTATAAACACTTTTTATTTTGAAGCTTTGAAGGCAGAAACACTCTAGTGTTGTCAGCTTTACTGTATTTTTTAACTAACTTTTTTGTATCTAATGTTTCAGGAAATGAAGCAGTGGATTCCTGGTACAAAGAGATTGAAAAATATGACTTCAGCAGCCCTGGATATCAATCTGGAACTGGTAAAAYACAACATACCAACAGGTTCCACTAAAACAGAAACAAATGGATATAAAATATAAAATTGTTCATTTTGACATCTCAACATTTAAAATAACGAGACAGAAACTAACTAAATTTGTTTTAATTTTATCTGTGATACATTTTCACTTTTTATGGGCAAGATAAACAAAAAATAACAATGTTTAACTTCTACACAYTTGTTTTTGAAAGAATGTGTTGTGGAGATGAAGCCACACTATCAGGGGAAATTAAAATACAAATATTAGACTAAAAAACTGAAACAGTTATTTTCAAGATCATATAAAAATAAATATTCTTATACCACTTAGACTAAACTAGGATTAAAAACAGACACAAATTTAAAGAAAAGGTACTCATGTTCTCTGAAATTAGGACAAAGATGTGAAAAACAGACAGGATAAGAAGAGCAACTGATAACTTCAATTACCTTCATCATTTAAAACAATAAAACTTGAGAATTTTTTTTGTAGAAAAAAAGTATGTTTGTCTGTCATTGGCTGAGAACTTTAAACAGCACAGTTAAAAACAATGGCCATCGGGACAGTGGTGCACTCAAAAATAATTAAGAGTTAATATCACTAAATACACCATCATATAAAACAAACAACAAAACTAATTTTTTTCCTAAAACGAACAATAAATAATGCAAAATACATGTCGTGTTTTTTTAAGAGCCAGGCTGGTTTATACTTGCATAGCTTTTGTCAACTATCCACTGGTTACAGCCGTCGTGTGCATCGCCTCCAGTCAGAACTCTGCACTGCAGAGCTGGAGGCTCACAGCGTGTGATTGTTCAGAACATCATGGGCTTGTTTGTTCGTGAATAACAATGCAGCGCTGTGGAGAAGGCCTCCAAGAAGCTYTTCCTTCATCATTTGTCATTTTCCTGGAAATGATTTTTTCTCTGAAGCCAGTTGTTGAAGTAGCAAGATGAAGAGTTTTGATGAGCAATGGGTTTGATCTTATTGAACACTTGAGCACGTATCTGATGTTCACGTCTTTTTTACATCACCACTATTAACAAAAGCAAATTCAAGAAACCTGTGGGAGAGCTCTGACGTGTGCCTGATGGATGGTTAAATCTTTAGAAAGGATGATGTCATCAAGATAGACAAAAACAAAGGCCTGTGAAGTTTTTGTTAATGAAAGGACACAGAATGCAGACAGTCTCGAGGAACTCAAAGTAAAACAGTTTATTAACATAAATAAAGAAACAAGGATGTGATAAGGATGAGGACTAAGACCTCTCCAAACCTATTGTGAGTATTCGGCGATCCAATCTGGTTGCCAGAATTTCAAGTTATTCCAGCTCTCTAGGTGAGCTGCAGACAGCAAGTTCAACATTTAATTTAATCATTTCTCCTGGTTCCAACAACTGTCAGCAAATAGTGTGAAAATCAATGATATATTGTTTTGCTCATCTTYTGCCTTGCTTTGTTTGGACAAATCCCTGTGCCACTTCTCTTACTTGAGGAACAGGGTCAAAAACACGGATCAGTTCTCTGGCAAATCTCTTATAATTGTAACAGTCATGTTGCCATTTAACTGTACTCTGTAACTTGGTTTCATCCAATAATAGAGATCATAAAACCAACTTCCAMCTCCAAACATTTCAGACGGGGAGAGAAGGTTGGTTCCTGGACATGAGTAGTAAGGTTCAGAGTAAGGCCGGGGTGGTGGGGGGTTGTGAATGAAAGCTTGGTGAGCAGTGACATCATTTCCTGCATGTTAGCTTCAACTTTGTTAATAGTTGTTTCTACATCAGAGTGCTTTTCCAGTGTGGGCGATGGGTCCGTTATTATTATGGCCAGATTATRCTGTGATAAGCCACTGGGGGGATTCAGAGATTCAGTTACAACACAGGAGTGAATAAAGAAAAAGAGATTTTAAAGTTTTTGGCAAAGAGTGACTGGATAAAACTCGACCACCTCTGATTTTAAGAAGAGAATAGGAGTCAACGGCTTATTTCCATATAAATGAACTGAAGTTAGTGAGGGAGGTGATCCCTAACCTGAAAGGTAAAGGCAAAGGTGGCTCCATAGGTGAGGTAATGTCAGAATGGAATCCCTGTAAACCAAAGAAGTCCTGTAAATAAAGGAGAGAGCTCGTGGGAAACACTTCTGCATTCCTCTTCAGTCCGAGCTAAGTTTCAGAATCACAGCCTAATGATTATATAGACACCGAGAGGCAGAGAGAGCATCTGAGGGACGAGGAGCATGCATAGATCTACTTGAAAAAAAAACTAAATAAAAGTAAAAAATACCTTAACACAAATCAGCTTTGGTAAAAAAAATATTTTACTGATGTGAAAAATACTTAGAGAAAAAGTCATAAAAATGTTCACAAAAATCAGGAAAGAAAAAGTAACTTTACACTCTAAGAGATAAACTGTTGAAGTTACTGAACCGTACAGGTTCCTCTAAAACCAAGTTGAGTAAGATAYATATTTTCTTTAAAATTATATACTTATTTTGCTTCATGTTTACTTTACTAGGTGTAGTAGAACCAGTTGACATGACTTGGTTGAGCAAATTCAGCAGTTCATGATGAGTTTAAATTTGTAAGAATCAGAATATTTTATTGTCATTCACACAACATCAAGATGCAGTGCAGAACAAAATTTGCAGTTTAGAACATCCGTCCGCAGAAACACACTCACACATGACAAACATGGGGCAACGAATGTCCAGGGTCTTTCACAACTTAGTGCGCTATCTTTGCAGTAATACACACACAATAGGAAGGGTGAGTTAAAAAAAAGAGCTTTGATCCTGTGTTTTATACAGAAACACACAAACATATGCTCAAAAAAACTACTCTGCATACAGCAAGTCAGCTAAGGAGGGGAGGGGGGTGGGGGGTCAAAACACATGGTATGGGGAAGGGTTCAGCGGAGCCGGTGACAATTCAGGATAGTACTCCATGTTGGAACCGATCAGAAGACCTCCAGAGTCCAAACAAGTTATCAGTCAAAGCACAAGTTACCAGAGTTCAGTTCTCTGTCTCCACCCAACGCGGCCTTCAGACCGATCCGGTCACGAGTGAAGATAAATTTAAAAGTAAAGAAGTAGAAGTATCAATCTTTAGGTTTTAAATGTAACAAAATAAAGCTAAAAGTACTGATTTTTAAAAATAAATTGTAAAAATACACAACCTAAAAAAACAACTACTTTAGTAGTGTAACAAAGTAAATATGTTTCATTATTATTTGTAATATTAAAATTGGATGTCATAAGGCTACTGTGTTTCTTCCTGCAGGGCATTTCACTCAGGTGGTGTGGAAGGACACCAAGGAGCTGGGTGTGGGCATGGCCACTGATGGCAATATAGCATTTGTGGTTGGACAATACCGCCCAGCTGGCAACTTCACCAATAAAGGGTACTTTGAGAAAAACGTCCGCCCAAAAGGTAAACTTTTAGCTTTCACTCATAAAAATAACTCATTGGATGAACTCAGTTAACATTTGAGCAGGTTTTCCATCTGTTTCTACAATTGAAATAAGTTAAGTACATTCAATTTTTGTAATGGTGCAAATGATTGAATGTAAAACAGTTGACTTTGACCAGCTTGATTTTATCTAATGCACTTAAAATAGTTTATATTTTTTAACTTGTTTAAAGCTAAAATACTCCCACAACTCAGTGTATTTAAATCCATTATGTGTAATAAACATTCATTGACCTAACACAATTCATGGTTTCTACTCTAAAATCAAAGTTTTTCTTATTTTTATAATTTAATTACGTGTAATATATTTTCATAATACAATTCTTCAATATTTTCCCAAATCATATAATTTGAAAGGATTAAACTGCAGCACAAAACTGCTTGTATAAGGACTGTTGGATCTTTGGTTTCATGTTCAATTATACAGATATTAAGTATAACAAAGTAATATCACAAAATAGACATTTTTTGATGAAGGTAGAAAAACAGTCTCACTCTAGAACAGGGGTTCCCAAACTTTTTGTCTTCTGACCCACAAAATATCCATGGCAAAAACTTGTGACCCCAAATATTACTGGTCTGAGTACACGAGCTTCGTTAATAACCCTAAAAACACAGGCTTTTTGACAATCTAAACAGCTTGTACACAAATATAAATACTTATTTAAACTTGTTTTGCGTTTTGTAATAATTACAGGGAAAATATTACATCAGCAATTATTTTATTA